CAGACACAGACAAGGACAGACAGACACAGACAGACAGACAGACAGACAGACAGACAGACAGACAGACAGACAGACATGCATACATACACACATACAAATATGCATACATGCACACATATATATATATGTGTAGATGTATCTACTTATCTGTTCATCTATCTATCTATCTATCTATCTACCTGTATGTATATGTATCTCTAAGTCTATATATATATATATACATACACATCTAAATGCACCCATACATACAGAGAGTGAATGTGTGTGTATATATATTATATATATACATGTGTAGATGTAGATGTAGATGTAGATGCAGATGGAGATGCAGATGCAGATGTAGATGTAGATGGTATGACATAATGAGCTGTATAGACTATAAAGAGATAGCAGGATCATCAGTCTTTTGGAGGGATGCGTATGCACATGTTGACAGACCCGTGGGATGATGTGGGTGCCTTTGGGAGCTTGCTTGCGTTTACCGTGATGCAGTTGCCTGCAGCCGTGTTCATGAGACCGTAGTGTCCGCACTACATCACTCGCAACCTTATGCGCTTCTGCAAATCCTCGAAGCGACTTCACCCTAAGCCGCCTGGTTCATCGCAAAGCAAGCAGCCCCACCACTTCAGAGCCCTTCAAAGCCCTGCCATCTCCAGGCTTACCCGACCCGCAAGTTTTAGTGCCAGCATCTGTGTTTAAACCAGACATTTTCGGGATGTCACCTGTCCGTAAGCATGAGGACTCTTTTACTGGCTATGCTCAATATAAGGAGTGTCGCGCAAGACTGGTGCAAAGCTCGTTGCTGGGACGAGGATGCAGCCTCGGCACGAGTGGTCCACAACTGAGAGTGCAGATTTGTCCTAACGGGCCCAACCCTACCCTACAATTATCGTTTCAGATTTGCATGCATGCGGTATGCATGCTAAACTATTGTACTTGCGAATGCCATACCAACTCGGAAAGCCGTGCACTCACCGCTGTGTGCGCCCTTACCGGTTTTGATGTAGTGTAAAAGTAGCAATACGTGCCGACCTGCACGTGCCTATGCAAATTTCTGTGTGTCTGTTTGTTTGTCTGTCAGTCTCTCTCTCTCTGTGTTTCTCTTTGTCTGTGTATGTGTATATACATATAAAAGTGTGTGGGTATGTTGATTGTGTCTGCAGACGCCTGTGCCCGTGTATGTTCGGAGGCGGTGCTGCGTGGACGAACCACCTCAGCGCTCATGGTTAAGCTAAGCATGTGTAGCCCCCCCCCCCGCCCCCCCGACTGCCCTATGCCCTATGCATACCCCAAAAGCAATTCCAGGAGCACCCCTCAAGCTCCCAGTGCCACCCCAGAAGCACTAGCTCCCAAATTACGACATGGCACTGTGGCGTAAACCACCCGTAGGCAGAATAAATGTCAGTCAGTCGTGTTGCTGCTACCAAGCACCGCAGCATCTTTTGCAGCTCAGGTCTAATATCAGCACCGGGACTGGTAGCATTGCTAGTGGCAGCACTCCAGCTAGCAGCTGTAAAAGATATGGAACCCCCATAAGCCCTAAACCCCCTAAAACCCTAAACTTTGCCCTAAACCCTAAACCCCAAACTTCGTTTTGAAGTCCAACGAATTCCAAAGTGGCGCGAGGTGTTGGCATGGTCTGGGCTGCACACGTTCAGGCAGAGCGGATTGGGCCTCGGCGGGGGCACGGGGCTTGAAGTACATATTTCTATCTTCTTCTATTATACAGTATAACTTATACTGTACTACCCTTACTACCCTTATTACCCTAAGCCCTAAACCCTATACTATACTTTACTACGACGCTATACTATACCGGAAGCTCTCCCGACTGAAACCCCGAATCCTTCCTCCAGGCCGGGTCCTTGTTGGATACAAATTAGACATCATACAAGCCAGTAAGGATTAAAGATGATCACTTTTTCATAGAGCCCCCAACAGGGAACCATGGAGCCCGGAGGACTGCAGAAGCCCAGGAGTTGAGCCTATAGGAGTTGCGGAAGCTTCAAAGCTTCATGGACGGTTTAGCAGGTGCCACTTCCTTGTTGGTTCCGTGCTGCAGCCATTTTTCATCAGCTGTTGTCTGAAGATGGAGACAGCCCAGCAGCCACGGGGTTCGGGGCTTGAGCTTGAAAAGCACAGTTGGTGGATTAAAGCCGCCCAGAAGATACCCACACCTCGCTTTCCACTGACTTTGCCGACTGCCGACGATACCGACCAGGAGTAGTCGAGACTTGGACCATGGCACTGGATGTGGCGCCCTCGTCGTCTGCTGAGCCCCTCTCTCCCTTCTTGGCGACGGTGGCCGTCATGAGCCACTGCTTCAACTTGAATAAAAGCTGTTTGCGGCACAGGCCGAGACATGCAACAGCTGGTTTTTGGAGTCGCAAGAATCACCGCCAACATTCCTTTGGACCTGGATTCCTCAACTACCGACATTCAACTATACCCCAAAAGATCCCTTAACGGAACCCCATTCCACGTGCCTGAGCCCAGGAAGGCCATTGTTGGACTCTGCTGCCTCACACTGCCTGCTGCCTTTGCCGAAGTACGGCTCACGTTGGCGCTTCTTGGGCCACCTGGCACTTTAGCGTATAGTTTAGGGTTTAGGGCTTACGGGCGTCAAGATATGGTGAAGACATGTCTCGTGCCTTGGAGGGCTCTGACACCAATGCTTTCCAAGCCAAAGGTGTTCGTAGTCCATCCTGTGCGAGTCTGTGATGGGATGCGACTACTTTTCTTGGCTGTATTTGCTGTGTGTACTTCATTGTGGGCAGTGTGCTGAAGGAAGGGTTCTCGCATGGTATACCCCTAAACCCTAAACCCTACGGTTAATACCCTCCATCTTCTGATCCTCGCACTTCCCCGAGCGAAGGATCGTCCTGGTCTGCGTGGCGCTGGGTGCCATCCTCAGCCCTCCTGGCCAAGGGTTTTGGGACGCTTAGCCCAGAGAAGCCCAGCACCCCTTAATTAAGGAATACATATCTTAAATTATAGGGGGGGCCTATAATATTATGATTTAAGGTATATTCCGTAATTAAGGGGGTATGGGGTTCTCTGGGTAGCCCTTGCTCTGACTCCCGGAGGTACCGGCACATACCGAGTGGCTCAGTGCTACGTGCAGATCCGTCGTTCGCAGGATGGGGGAGAGGCCGGTTCGGTTTAGGGTTTCGGGTTTAGGGTTTGAGTGGCTCACCTTGTGATACCATTCGTACATGACGCCTGTTCTTATCAGTCCCATCTGCTGTCAGTGCGATTGCACGCATATTCCGTCCTTCTGTTTTCACGTACAATAGTCGGATGGCTATTGCCTGAGCAGCTGCAGCCTTTATCTGCCGATTCCGATCAGGTGGAGGTAGTTGGGAACCAGTGTTCGATGCGACCCCAAGCTAGCCTGGGGGTCAGAATGACTGCCACTCATATCCCTGTCAAGTCCCTGAGTAGTAGCATTAGAAAGTACCCCCAAACCGTATTCCAATGTTTAAGGCCGCGATGCATTACATACTCTAACAGGCGATCGCTATACCCGAAGCCCTAAAGCCTGCACTCGACAACCCTAAACCCAAAAGCCCCTAGCAGACCGCAACTCCTTCATCCAAACTTCGCAACCCGAAGTCTTCAAAGCCCAACAGCCCAATCAGCCGAAAACCCTAAACTCTTTCTAAACCCCGAAAGCTCGAACATCGAAGCCTCAAACCCCAAACCCTACACTCTAAGCCCCTAAGGCCCCTAAAGCCCCTAAGCCCTACACCTCAGCCCCTCAGGGGGATCACGGCCTCGGCCCTCTGGGAGACATCTCCCGGGAGGCGCGAGCGGATGGGCTGGGTTTTCGACTCTTAGAGTTTAGGGTTTAGGATTTAGGATTTAGGGTTTAGGATTTAGGATTTAGGGTTTAGGATTTAGGGTTTAGGGTTTAGGGGATTTGAGATTTGATGGTTTGGGGTTTTGAGGGGTTTAGGGTGTAGAGGGGTCGAGGTGTAGGTTCGAATCAGGGGCCTAGCGTCTGGGATTTAGAGTTCAGGCTTAGTGGGGTCAGGCCTTGGGGTCATAAAGGAGAGTAATGGTGACACATGATTGTGGTCACATGAGTATGTTCGGAATTATGGTACTTCACTCTCCTTCTTCTGGGTTGTCAAGTATTGCCATGGCGCGTATTGTCTCTATCATTGTCAAAGCCAGCAGCGCGTGCAATTGCCACCATCGTGGATATCGAAGCCGACGTTTGCGGTGCTGATTCTACAACGGAACCGTGGCAACCGTAATTCATAGGTTTCGCTCTGCCAACGTTCATACCTCTCCTCGTGCAGCGGCATTGCTGATATGGTTGCTTCAATGGGACCAGTGACCCCAAACCTTAAACCCTAAACCCCTAGACCCTAAGCCCTAAACCCCTAGACCCTAAAACCCTAAACCCCTAGACCCTAAACCCCTAAACCCCTCAACCCCTCAACCCCTAAACCCTAAACCCCACTGCATGAACCAGGTCTTCGGGTGGCAGGGCATCCGTTTCTGCTATGTGGCCATCCTCGCCTCTCAGTTCGGCCTTGCCGTGGAAGTTCGGCCGAACCGGAAGTCCTTGACAACGGATCTTATGGTCATCTATACATTATAGTATCTTATGGTATATTATAGTATAGTATAGTATATTACAGTACATTAAAGTATATAATATTATGGTATATTATAGTATATGGTAGTATATTATAGTATATTACAATATATTTTGCGTAAATCCTTAGGGTGAACTTATAAGCACTTGTAAGCCGCAGCAGGCAGTGACCAAGTCACGCCTCGGATGCCCAGGCCTACACCGACGTCATCGTGCCCACGGTGATGAAAATGCTGGGGCTGTCGAAGCTCACAGTTCAGCTGTGGGTGTGGCCCGTCGAAAGTTGTGGGACCCTTGGTGACTTCGGGTCGAGGGTCTTCGGGTCCCGTGGTCAGTTACCTTGTCTGCTTGCTTTTGGTTTTTTGGGTGGTGTCTTGTCAAAGTATTGCTGCATTGCAAACCGGCTGTTCGATTGCAGGTTTGGAATCTCTGGAATCCTCAGCTTCATCAAGCAGCTGACGCTCGGCAGACAGTTGCAGGGAGGTGCAAAGTGGCCTTCTGTGAGCCATCGGGCTGTGTTGCTTGAATCCTTACAATATATGATCAACACATGTTGTCAAGAAGCAACAAAGCTTTTCTCTACATTGTTTCGCGTCTTGTTCCGAAGCCTTGCCCCCTTTTACTAACCCCTTAAACTTGCTGTGGAAGGCAGGGCCTCGCATGGCTCTCCATCGTTGCTCTGGCTGAAGCTTGGCTGCAGGAAACTCTTCATGGGGCTCCTTGGAATGCGGATCCTGCTACTCAGTGTGGGGTTCTATGTCTACGTAAGGAACGCTCCTATACTGTGCCGTCGAAGCTGACGAGGCCTTTATGTACATCGCGGTTGCCCTGCTTCACTTTGGTCTTGCTGGGCTCTCGGCTGATGGCCTGCGGGGCTGGGATTTGAGTTGTGTGGGTAGTATTAAGGCAGTAGTCATTCCGATCATACGACCAAAATCAGTCGCAGTTCTGATGGCAAGAACCACGAAAGAAGAATGATCGGTGCAACAGTATGCCTGAGATATCTATATCAAAATGCCATGAAATGGGATTCCGCACCGGACCAGCAGCCTTGGTGCGAGTAAACTTTACCGCCAGGTCCCAGCTCAGGCGCGTCGAAGTTCTGAAACTGTCTGTAGGTCATAGCAGCAAGAATTTGACCATGGCAAGACGATTGCCAGCATAGACAAATAGTAGTCAGTCAAGTCACCGTCAGCATCGTCATCATCATCATCAGCATCAGCATTTTTTATCATGATCAGCACTATGCTCGCCTTCATAGCAAGCAGTGTGACACATCTGAAATAGTATGAGAATAGACAGGGCGACAGCAGCGACAGCGAACACGACACCAGCCAAGATGGGAACATCAATAACATGTAGTAGCTGCAGTGACAGGCAATTTGAAAATACAATATTCACAGAAGCACAACCACCAAGCAATGAATAGTAGGATCCGTTTTGTAGAAGAACCCCTGAACGTCTACGCAATGAGTCGCCAATGAGTTGCGGCTAGACGACTTTCGCGAAGGTCGAGATTCACGCTGGCCGGGACAGCTTCGAGGATTCGTGGTGGCCACTGCGATTCGAAGGACCCCCGCCAGAAGCATCCTCAACCTTGCGGTTTCATGTTGTTAGGGTCCTGAAGATTGTTCTAATCGAACACTGTCACAGTAAGTAGTTGTAGCAAATAGGCAAAGAACCAGATATGAGCTTCGAACAAAATATGGTGTTGCATTTTGCCAAGCTGCGATGATGTGAGCATCAGTACCATGTCTGGTGATACCACCTCGTGCCACGGAAGCAATGCGAGCAGGAGTAGCACTAGCCCTACCAAGAGCAAGTGGTGCTGGCAGTGGCAGTGGTAGTTCTAGCGGCAGTGGTAGTTGTCGTCGTTGTGCTAATTAGCAATTGTTGTTAGTCGGAGTCGTAGTCGTAGTCGTCGTAGTAGTCGTCGTCGTAGTAGTAGAAGCAGTAAGTAGTAGTTGTAGTTAGTAGTTAGTAGTTAGTAGGTAGTAGGTAGTAGGTAGTAGGTAGTAGGTAGTAGGTAGTAGGTAGTAGGTAGCAGTTAGTCGTCGTAGGAGTAGTAGTCTTACTAGTACTTGTACTAGTACTAGTAGTTGCAGCGCCAGCAGTGGCTCAGGTGGGGCAGTGTAGCAGATACGGCGTCGAAGCGACAGTGACACACATCGTAGGAATCGGATGCCAATCGTTGTGGCTGTAGTTGCTTGAGAAGTAGCAGTACTTGCCGCGACGAAGACGACGATTACTACTACGCCGACGAAGACGCCTACTGCCAGTCTGCTAGTACTGCTAGTACCTGTACCGTTCCGTCCTGCTGCTGCTACGACTCCTACGAGCTTGATTGAAAGCCAACAAACTCCGGACAACACACATCCGAAGCTACCTACTCGAGTCCCCTGATCTCGTTCTTTGAGAGTAAATGTAAGTCATTCAGGCGCACCTGCATACTGGTATTTCAAGGTTGCGTCTTGTTTGCTACTACAGGCACTGCGCAACCCAGAGTCAGAACCCAGCTTCATGTAGCCACCTTCCTTCTTCGAACCACAACGCGCCTGAAAACAATGCTTTGGGATGAGGCTTGGGCTCTTTTCTCGGACCTACCATCTCCGCTTTCGAAGGCGCAGCTCGGATGACCTATGGAACTGTCGTTGATTAAAGCTGCCCACTGCCATCTATCTGTCTACCTATCTACCTATCTGCCTGTGTGCCTATCTATTCATCTATCTATCTGTTTATCTATCTATCTACCTAGCTATCTATCTGTCTATCTATCTAGCTATCTATCTATCTATCTATGTATCTGTCTATCTATCTAATTATCTATGTATCTATCTATCTATCTTCATATCATATCTATATTTATATTTATGCAAAGAGTCTTGTATGAAATTTGTACATGTATCTACACATGCAATGCCCTTGTGCTGGTACCCAACCACAACTCTGCGGATAGGAACGAAACTTCAAGTTTTCCTTGGCTTTCGGTCTAGTGCACATGGGAAACTAGCGAGACAGTTGGGATGAAGGCCGTGCTGTTGGTAGTAGTCATGGTTTTGGTTTAAAGTGGCTAGGTAGCTCGTTCGAAGGATGTTTCAGTGTTTCACTTGCTTCACATCGCATCCGAACCCGTGATCCCCGAAGGTTTCGTGGCTTCTGTTGGTAGTAGCCAAAAATCAGCGCCATTGAAACGGCACGTAACAGCACCTGCGAACAGGCAACCAGCGGTAGTTGAATTTTTAGTACCTGTTGTGGCAGCACTGGTGCGAGCAGAAGCAAGAAGCGCAAAACACAAGCAACTCAAAGAGCATTCACTACCGCGCTAGATGCGGTCAAGACTACGAGCCTCGCAAAAAATGGAAGGCTTTTTCTTTGCAGAAGTCTCACCATGGCAGGAGAGCGTGTGGCAACTATGCCCAAGCACGAAGTGATAGCCAGAAAGACAGTCGCCGTACTGGCTGCAATGACCCCAACGATCGTAGTTGCGCCCATGGGGTGCACGGCTTACCTCTTGCAGCAAGAGCAAGACAAGTCACAGGAGTTCTGACCGACGGATTTGGCATCATAGCAGTCGTGGTAGTCCTTCTGATCAGAGCCCTAAACCCTCAACCCTACGTAGCCATAGTAGTGATACAGGAACCCAGAAGTGCTTACTGCAAGCTTGCTAGCCCATGTCATGCAACAACAGATATATTCTGCCAGAACACTACATGCAGTGCAAGTAGAAGACGCGGAAGCAGTGTTGGTATTGAGACCAGTAGTGATCAGTACGAGTGGTTTTTATATATAGTTGAAAGCGTGATATTGGTGGCAAAGTATCTCAGAGCTGTTTCGCAAATCGTACAGAACCATCGGATCGGAAGGACGGTCATCAGCCAAGGTTGTGGTGTCGCAATACGCCTTTGCGGACATGAAAGTGGACGATCCGGCTCCGTTCAAGAGGCACGGCGAAGTAAACCAAAAGAGTGGACAGGACAGTAGTCGCGAATCGAAGCCTTTCGTTCCGACCTGCAACAGCAGATATGACTGGGAGGAGCAACGTTACATACAGCAATGACCTATCAACGTGTGCAGACGAATCATGAATAGCAAAGTACGGATCTACCAGCAAGGTTTGCAACTGTAGCAGCAACGGCAAGAAATCGAACGATTCGCCCATCCAAGCATCTATCTTTCTCCTTAGTTTCATCTTGTGTGGGGGCAGCGGGCTTCTGGCTTGGGGTTCCGGCTTCATGTCAACCCAGAACTCAGCATTTGGGAGTTTGTGGCTTCTGGATGCTGAGGAGTGTTTGGTCAGTGCTAGACCGTCAACTTCGTGCAGCATTGTCGCCGCTCAATAGATCTATAGTCGAAGAGGCAATGCTGCCAGCAGTGATTGTACCGCCAGCAGCAGCGATGGCATCAACGTGAAAGACATATTGCCCGCAGTCTGTACATTCTCAATAACTCCAAAGCTTCTCTTTGACGTGATTGGGATGTTCAACAGCATCTGGCCTGGCAGGGTCGTGATCATCAGCCACGCTTTCGCGTTGGCGCTGTTTGCCTTCATAGGCCTGGCTCGTGTATCAGCCGGTGGCCAGCTCTCGCCCTACTGCTCCCAGGATGCTTCGGCTTCGGCGTGTATGGCGACGATGTCTCCGAGATCATCTACGAGAGCTTCCCCGCGCACTCCCTCGATGCTTCCCAGATGAATTTGGAAGTTTGAGGGCTGCCTAAACCCCCAAAGTGGGAGACCTGGGCGGCCTTGCAACGCCCCTTTCGAAAGGCATAGCCACGATTGGCCCTCCAGGAGGCATAGCTTTGAACCTTCCTGAGGTCCAGCTTTGCAAAGTGACGGTGTGTATCGTGCAGATGATCAACTTCCAGGTTCAGATGCATCTTGGACGAAGGGTTCCCATACTGTGCCAGGGCGGTGATGGCTCCCACGGGGGCACTTTGGTTTGGGGGCTTTTGGTCTTGGGTTGCCTAGCATCGAGGGGCCTTGGTGCTTCTGCGTCAGGCGTTGGAAGCAGTTGCGCCTTGATTCATGGCAGGGGCTTTCATCAAGTTTGGGGGAGCATCCGGCTGCATGAGTGGCCTTCCCACTTCTTGCCGGAAGCTCCTCAGCATCCGGGCCAGGTATCCGCTCTTCATGGTGGGTGAGACGACTCTCCGAGGTTGGTTGGAGCAGAGCTACGAGGGCCCAGATTTGTCGAATCTCAGTGCCTTGCTCCGCAGATTTCGAGCCCGAAGCCCAAAGCACATTGGGGGCTCTTTTCCCCCAATATGTATAGTGTCTCGGTTTCGCGTCTCGCGGCGTCTCTCTGTCCCGGCTTCGGACCGGCCCTGGCTACATCAGATCGGATCTCCCTACATGATCCTGCTTGGGGGGTTAGGGTTTATAATAGGGTTTAAGGTGTTTTTTGTGTTAGCGCGTGTGATTCTCCTGAGCTTGAATTGAACTGCATGCAGAATCGATCCGAGGCACAAGTGATGACGACAACTCATGGGAGAGCGACAAGGCGTAGTCTTCGTCGGGGGTGTGCAATAGTACTATATACCGATGATCTTTTTGAACTAGTCCCGTTATCATTCCCATATAATGATAGTTACCATATACTAACCCGAAACCCTATTCTCAGTGTTACCTCGATCCGGAACTTTGACGCGGCTGCAACTGCAGATCAAGCTTACTGCTGCGGCGACGAGGACGACGAGTACTCCTGCTACTACTGTCACTCTTGCTGCTTCTAATTAGTAGGTGCATTGCTGCTGATGCTTCTACTACGAGTTATTGCTGCTGCTCCTGCTGCTGCTGCTGCTACTACTACTACTACCACCACCACTACTACTACTACTACTACTACTACGACGACGACGACGACGACGACTACGACCATGATTACGACGACGACGACGACGACTACTACTACTTCTGCTACTACTACTACCTCTACCACTGCTGCTGCTACTGCTGCTGCTGCTGCTGCTGCTTTTTTTGCTACAACTACGACGACGACGACTACTACTGCTACTAGTACTAGTACTAGTACTAGTACTAGCACTAGACGACGACGATGACGACGACGACTGCTACTACTACTGCTACTGCTACTGCTACTGCTACTGCTACTGCTACTGCTACTGCTCCTGCTGCTGCTACTGCTACTGCTCCTGCTGCTGCAACTACTGTTACTACACCAGCACCACCACCACGATAACCACCACCACTGCCACTGCCATCGTCACTGCCGCTATCGCCACCACAACGACGACCACTGTCACCATCACCACCACCCGACCATGCCGCCACCATCGCCACCACCACCAATCCCTTCCCCCTGCTTGGGGTGTGTTGGGGCACTTGGCTCTTGTCTCTTGCTGCTGCTCTTGCACCTGTTCTTGTTCTTGCTCCTGCTCCGCTCTGGCTCCTGCTATTGCTCTTGCTCCTGAAACCCCTCCAACCCAAGCAAGGTTTCAAAATGCGGCATGTTGTAAGGTTAATTCCGGAAGTGTTTCGATTGAACGAGCGTGTTGAATCAAATGGGGGTAGCGACTACCGCCCCTGCCGCTAGTAGGCTTGCCTAGCAGAAATAGTCTTGGCTGCAAGTCATACTGTTGATGATATAAATCCTGCACTACCTTAAGGACCCTAAACTATGGGAATTATGGTATATTCCTGATTATGGGTAATGCAGGATTTCTATCATCAACCGTAGCTCCTTCAGTCTTATCGAGCTGAGCCCCTGAAGGCAGAGCTTTGGAAGTCCGGTGGTTCGAAACCGAACAGCTGTTTCGCCTGGCTGCTCTCCGCGGCGATGCGGTGGCAGCTGGGACTTTTTTCTGATTAAGCATGGGGTTTGTTAAAGATTCGTAGTCGATGTCTGCTTACATGTTAATCTCATTTCCTATTCTCTCCGCTACCTTCATCAGTTTGCCATGATGTTCCTACTGGCCTCCATCGGCCTCAGGTCGCTCATAGGCAGCGCAATCCTGGTCGCTGCCGCCGTACCTTCCGTGAATCAAGTTCTCAGCCCTGGCCTAAGGGTTTGCAGTCCGTGCCCTTCCACACGCGCACCTTGAGGGATGTAGCTTTGGGTATGCACATCGTATGTAGACACACATAGGCATACATACGACTGCCGTGTGAAGGCTCTTGGAACCCCCCAAGAAGCTGACACACAGTCAGCTCTACCCTTTAAGCTGTAGAGGAAGATCAAGGGTATCTTCAGGGCCTTTAATGGGCGTCATTGCATGTTTGGCTCCTTCCTGATCACCGGAAAGCATTCGAGGCCCTTTCGGATGCCTCCCCTACCCCACCTGTTATCAGATATCACACCCCGCCCCAAGTCTTTGAGGTTACATTGGCGGGTATTTTTTCGCCTATGTGGCCTTGCTCTTGCCGGGACTCTCGCACTGGAGACTCGTCTCACCTGTTTGCACGGTTTCGGTTTCAACTCCTTGGCTTGCAGACTACCCAAGAATGCAGCCTGAGTCACTAGTTCTGCGTGCGACTCACAAGGACGTGTCCGAGATGGGTTTGTGTGGGTCAAGCTTGCATTGGCTGCAGCTAAGGATGCTGAATTCGGGCAATCTCTCGTGGGCAGACACCGTCACGAATGTGGCTTTCATGCAATGGCCCACCCCCACTCAAAAGCCCTGAACCCGCAAAAGCACCAACACCCCCCAAACCCCCAAACTGAACGCCCAAAATTCAAAAGAAGTTGAAATGGGGATCAGCATCCGGGAACTTGATCTGAAGATGCAACAGGCTTGGGCAATAACAGACGGGATGCTGTGTCACCAGGCGATGCTCATCTCCCTCGGTTTGACGTCGGCAATCCTCACAACGCTGGGATAATTGCAGAGGTGTCGGAAGAGAGTGCTCTTCACATCGCCTGTTTAACTTTGCTTGGTAGGTTAAATATAGGTCGAGATATACGCAACGCATTGCGCAACATGAGAGGGGGGAAATGTGAAAAAAAGATGAAGAAGAAGGAGGAGACAAGAGCATGCTAAGAACCAGTAGTCAGAGCAGACGGCGACAATACGAAGAGACGAGGGCTCTCGGATCATGCAGACGGTGCTGACGACGATGATGATGATGGTGATGATGATGATGATGGTGATGGTGATGATGATGGTGGCAGCGGTGGTGGTGGCAGTGGTATGCTGGCGATATCGAGCGCTGACGGTGGTGCTGATAGTATGGACAATGGCGATGGTGATGCCGATGCTTATGACGATGATGTTACTGTTGCCGCTGCTGATGATGACGGTGATGGTTATCATTATGACGATGATGACGATGACGATGTTCTTGATAGTCAAGAAGATGATGACGACATCTACGATGATGTGGATGATCCCAGCGACGACGGCGATGCGATGTACATCATGCATTATGCAGATGACCCGGATGCGAAAGGACGATGGTTCCTACATTAGGCTTCTGTCGGTGGTGATACATTCTTACGGCATCACGGCTCGTGTGAGTGCTCTCCGTTATGCCAGTTGCCCCGTTCTTGCTTGTAGAAATTTCATGCCCCCCCCCCCCCATATACCATTACCCGAGCCAGCAGAGAGCGGCAGCGCGCGGTCTTAGACTTAGACATTGCGGTTCGGTTTACAAGACCTGTCAAAGCACCAACCCCGTTCTGCATTCTGTTCCCTGACTTCGGCAGCTGTTAGGTCTGCCCCGGTAGCTCCTGATTCTTGTTTTAGGTGGCGAGTCTTGAAGGTTGTTCTGCACATACTTTCGCGGCTGCAGTAGACCAGGCCCTGCTAAGATTAGGGATCTCTCTCCCTCTCTCTCCCCCCTCCCTCTCTCTCTCTCTCTCTCTCTCTCTCTCTCTCTCTCTTTATTGTCTTCACGACATGGCGAAGGCATCCCCAGCCTACACTGTCCTATGAAGCACTCTTCGCGCTGCCACTCCTGCTTGGCCTCGACCATTTCGGGTTGCTTGGGGCATTGTTTTGGGGATGCTCGAAGCAGGTGACTGCATCTTCCAACCTGGGCTCTGACCACCGTTTGTATCCCTGCAAATTAGGGGCTGAAGGAAACAGGATACCACAGGATGTGTTCGGTAATTTGTACGATGATCGAACTTCTCATCCCTCGCCGGCACCTAGCTAAAGCCAGCAGGGTTCAGGGTTCAGGGTTTCCCTAAACCCTAAACCCTAAACCTAGAGCCAGGAAGCAGATGTAGGCACCAGCTCTGAGTGCCGTGTTTTTCCCAGCTTTTCGATAGCTCACGGATAGGCTCCCGCGCTTGAAGCTGCGGATGGCCTGAAGTGGGAGCTTCTGAAATCGAGGGATTTTACGGGACTCTTTTTGGGATGTCATGCTTTCCCGAAAGTAGGAGCCTACTTCTTAGATAACTAGTTTCCGGTTGAGTCAGGGTCTCTGCTTTCTGAAACTCCCTATGGCCCTATAGCATTCAAGCATCAAGCGAGCTGCCACCTACCCTGCTCTGCCGAGCGCGGGGTGTTAACGAAGACAATGCTAACGCGAGACGCGCGCCCTTTTCCGAGGTAGCCTCCGGGCTCGGGCGTTGCGAGCTGTATCTGTCATATTATGGTTATAGTTATATAGTTATATAGTTTGTTATATAGCTATATAGATATAGTTTTATAGTTATAGTGGTGCCTTTGCCTGTCTGTTATTCCGTTGGGCTTGCCGACTTGACGTTTCTAAGGTTGTGTTGCGTGCTTTGACCCTTTGCTCTCCTGCAGCTTTGCCAGATTTAGGTCCTTACACCCGGAGCAGTGAGCTCCGGAGGATTAGCGGCAGGTTGCGCCAACTGCTGCCTGCTATCATTTACCATGTAGGCGGAGAAGCCTCTTACCTCCTGGCTGCCCAAGGCACCGGGATTTTAGCGGCATCCTCCCAGTTTCGCGGTCCCGCCTCAGTGGCAGCAGGACTCTGGCCCCAGGCCTCTGCGTTCTGCCCGACCAAAAACAGCTTCCCGTCTCGCTGCATGGGCTGACTTCGTAGGGAACGTGCAGTCTATAGTGTCCTGCTCCTGAAAAGGCTTTTGCACATGTTGCCCTCCTTCGCAGCGTCGAAGGCGGGGAAGAGTGTGGGCACTTCTCACGCATTTGCCGGGCATTGCCTTCCGACTCTCGTTGTCCGGCACACGGAGGCTTCGTCCCATGTTTCGGAGTCCTTACAAAGCGAGTACAGTAGAGCATGATTCTAAGCGTCCCCGACTTTCTGAAACTCCCATATGCCAAAACGGCCAGCCTTGTCTAGCCAGGTGCAGCAGAGTCGCCTCAGCTCCGGTATCTCGCCGTGAGGCCCCTGGGGTTCCCGTGCAGTTCACTATGGCGAGCACCAGTGCACGGACCTGGGCACCTCCTAGGATACGTTAAGGCGCTTTAAGGATTCTGCAAAGTGGCAAAAATGGCGAACTTACTTGGAGGTGCAATGATCGCCCTGTTGCTCTACTTCCGGCCTTCCGTCCGACGCCGTGTCCTCAGTAGTGTTCTGGTTAGTCTTGCGAGCATCAAGTCCATCGACAGGCTTTGGGTCCTCCTGGTGCTAATTCTGACAACTGTGACCAGCATCACTCCTGCGACTTATCACTAATCATCATCGCAGTTCTTATCATGCGCAGTTCCGTCACAATTCTGCGTCATTCTTCCTTTCAGCAACTCTAAGACTCCTCTGGCATCTGGACCCTAAACCCTCTTCTTGAGGCGCACGGGCCCCGAAATCTCAGGCACGATGTGTATCGTGCGGAGCTGGAATTTGCCGAGCCTGGCTTCGCAATCGACGCCGTCCCCGCAGAGGCTTGTAGTACCCGTATAGTTGGGTTCACATGGGGCGTCTGGGGGTTCTTGTACTTGGGCCATCACTTGGGATAGCCAACGGCTTTGCAGCCAGAGAAGAGAGTGTCGTACACTAACCCTTATAAAAAAAAGCTTGGGGTTCACGGGGCGTCAGGGGTTTCTTATTTTTTTATGGATTAGCAGTTTGGGATTTAGGCCATGTAGGCTTCAGTGTTTAGTGTTTGGGTTTTCGTCATGTGCTTCAGATGCAGAAGACTTCAAGAAACGCCTCACAAAAAGTCCAGGCTGGGATTGCAGCGTGGCTCATTACGACTTTGGCTCTGCAGACGAGCTTTGTTTTCGGCCCTGTGGGGTATCAATGTTTGTGTATACCAACATCTGACCTAAACTCGTAAAATGCCTAAACCCTGAACCCTCAAGAGTCCTCAATAAGTGCTTGCACCACGCACTTGCGCAGGGTTCCGAGTTCGCCAATGCGGATGAGTTCTCTTCCACGAAGTTGGTCGAGCCAGGCCTGTTCGAGCCCTCAACCCTCATACTCAAACTATTCCAGCTGCTGTTCTTCTTGGTGGTTAGCTTGGGATGATGGCCATGAGTCATGATTGATTGTGTTTGTTCTCGTTGTTGTTGCTGTCGCTGCCGTCGCTGCCTTGTTTCTGCTACTGGTCGTGGTTGTGGTTGTTAGTGTCGTTGTCGTTGTGTTTGCCGCTCCGGTTGTGGTTCTGGTTGTTCTTGTTATTGTTGTTAGTTAGTAGTTTTGATGATTATTGTTGTTGTTCTTGTTATTGTCTTGTTTTTGTTCTTGTTATTTTCTTGTTATTGTTTTTTGTTGTTATTATTATTGCTGTTCCTGTTGCTGTGCTGTTGGTGGTGCTGCTGTCGCTGTTGCTGTGGCTGTGGCTGAGGCTGTGGCTGTGACTGTTGCTGTTGCTGTTGCTGTTGTTGCTGTTGCTGTTGCT